ACTGGGACTTTCCCTCCTGGCACCCAGTGGAGCCTCCGACGGCCAGTCTACGGTCTCCGCCAGGCACCGCGTGAGTGGCACGACACACTGAGGACTACGCTTGCGGCTCTTGGGTTTGCTCCCTCTACTGCTGACCCGTCGTTGTTTCTGCGCACCGACACTTCTCTGCCGCCGTTCTACATCCTCGTGTACGTCGACGACTTGGTCTTTGCCACTGCTGACACTGCTGGACTCGCCTACGTGAAGTCCGAGCTGCTGAAGAGACACACGTGCACGGACCTGGGTGAACTGCGCAGCTACCTTGGCTTGCAGATCACTCGGGACAGAGCACGCCGCGCCATTACCTTGACTCAGTCACACATGGTGCAGCAGGTCCTTCAGCGCTTCGGCTTCACGTACTCCTCGCCTCAGGCCACTCCTCTGCCTACTCGCCACTCGCTCTCAGCTCTGCCTTCGGATGAGTCCGTAGAGTCGAGTGGCCTGTACCCGGAGCTTGTTGGCTGCCTCATGTACCTGATGACCTGCACACGACCTGACCTTGCATACCCTCTTAGCATTCTTGCACGCTATGTTGCTCGTTGGAGACACCGACCAGAGCACATGGCTGCAGCGAAGAGGATGTTGCTCTACTTGTGCAGTACGTCGGGCATGGGGCTAGTGCTTGTCAGAATATTATCTTATTGTTCTAGCCTGTAGTGGGGTGCTCTATAGCGATTACAACCCTTCTAGGGTTTGCTATTTGTATCCCCATTTCTGCTAGTTCAACCCTCTTTCTTCCTTCAAACTTTGTCAGTGCTTGGAGGGCGGAGTCCAGTGGTCCTCACTGGTCACGCGGACGCTTCTTGGGCTGACGACAAGGCTACGCAGCGGTCGTCGCAGGGGTACACCTTCAGTCTTGGTTCTGGCTCTGTCTCTTGGCGGGCTACTCGCTCGTCTTCTGTTCTTGGCTCCAGTTGTGAGGCTGAGATCTACGCCGGGGCCATGGCTGCACAGGAGCTTCGCTGGCTCACCTACCTGCTGACTGACCTTGGAGAGCCGCCTCGTTCTCCTCCAGTGCTGTACGTAGACAACAAGGCCATGCTGGCCTTGTGTCGAGAGCAGCGCTTGGAGCACAGAACGAAGCACATTGCTCTCCGTTACTTCCTTGCTCGTGAGCTGCAGCAGCGTGGTCAGTTGCGACTTGCGTACGTGGCCTCTGAGGCCAACACTGCTGATGTTTTCACCAAGGCACTTCCGCCTTGTGATCATCAGCACTTCTGCACTCAGCTGGGACTTGTACCTGTCCTACCTCACTTGCTCACCTCTTGACCTTGCTTGTACTCTTGCATATATATACACCTGCTCTTTCTTGTTTAGTCTTATATATATATGTCTCATCTTGCATGTGAACTAGCCTTGTGGCCTTAACCTTGTGCTCGGACTGTGTGGTGACTTTGTGATCCACCCTGAGCTTTGCTTTGCTTTGCTTGACTGGTCTTGTGACCCCTTGTTCTCCCCCACTTTGCCTATGGGGGTGTGTCAGAACTTATAGCTTATACTTTTGTGTAGGCTATAGTGGGGTATCCCATAGGGGGTACAACCCAATTAGGGTTGGTACTTGTACTCACACATTTCATAGTTCATTCATTTTTCGTGTTCTTTCTTTCCACATGTTCTGTTCGGTGTACATATCAATTACCAAAAAAAAAAAAAAAAAAAAAAAAGGATTTACCGACATCCCCAAACGGATGTCAATGGATGTCGACGTTTCACTTCGGACACCCCCAAACACCGTTTTCGGATGGAAAGACAACATCTGTCCTGGAAGAGCTGTGGCTTCGTTAGTATACATGTTATGCTAACAATGTTATGAATGAACTTGCAGAGTGCGCAGAATAACGAATAACGGGAATGATGGATTACAGAATGACGATACACACGAAGTGACGAGGCCTAAATAGGGGAAGTCCTAGCTAGGCGGGGAGGTGGGGAAAGATTGGCTCGCGAAGGGTCAAGATTGGTGCGGAGGTGGCTCGGTGAGGTTTGGACGCGAAATTGTAGGCCGAACCAGTTGGTCGCGTGGCCCTCGGGATGACCTCGCTAAAGAGTGCCTCATTAAGGATCTAGGGTCAATTAATCCTTGCACTCTCCAACCTCCTAAATAAGGCAGCTCTATAGTGAAATAGGTCCCCTAGTAGCAAGGATACCGTTGATCTTCAGCCCAAGTGAATCCGACGACTGAATTTGCCTTCAACCAATTTAAAGAAAGGTTGGAATTAAGGCCGTTGATGAAGTCCGATTTCGATCTGACAGACGCGGTTGATCTGGCCCAAAATGAAGTAGAGGTTGGAATGTGGGCCGTAGATCGAGCAGATGTGAATCTGACGGTCGACTGACGTGAGAAGGAGGGAACCTGCTGACGCGAAATACAATTGCGATGTAGCAGAAACCGTCGATCTTGTCGGTGTGATCGCAATCGTCCGTCGTGCTGACGCATCGTGACAGAAGTCAAGAAGAATGCCGAGAAAACGCCAAGAAATAGTGCACAACACTTTCTCCCCCCCTCCAAGAATACAAGCGAGCTGTCACTACAAAGGCATTCGCCCTTTTTACCCTTGAATTCAAGTGCTTGTTCGGGCCCAATTCAGAGATTTCAAAGGCTGGCTCAGAGGCCAGCCCGTTTCCCTTACGGGATGGATTAATGCCTAACCCGGATTTCACGTACACGCTCAGAGCCTCATCTACAACCCTACCCCCTCGTTTCCAATGATATGTCAACCCTGCTTACGTAGAACCTCCATAAATACTCCTGCCCCCCCGTTGCATGGTAGACCGGCTATGTAGTACAACCCTCATGTGTATTTGAACATCATCTGCTTTCACGATGTGTTTACGCTCAAGTGCAGAAGGATGTGTAGCCCTGGATTTAAGTGTTGAAATCTGACTCAACCCAGATATAAAACAGCTGAATTCAGGGCACCTAAGCCTGCTAAGTTCTGGGCCCCGAGCAAGCGACAGCCTTGAATACAAGTGTTCTCCTTTATAGTCCGACAGACTGAGGCGCCGCGCGCGGGCTGTGTGAAAACCTTCAAACCCCTTGGCAAAACGCGATACTCGTAGTGCCGTTCAGGAAAATTGGCCCTGTTCGGCTGCAAAATTGCACGTTTTTTCCCATCTAGGTTCGGTGTTGTGTGGGAGGTCTGGTTCCGAACGTTGGGAAGTTCGGAAACCAAAGGCAACTTGTCGTCCTGACACTGTGGCAACACGTCAGCAAAATCTAAGGTGTATCTACAGTGTCCGCGCAAAGGACAGAGAAATTAGACCAGGCCACCGGACCTCAACGGCCAACATGAACGACCCAAAAATCCCTCCACACATCCAACTCACTCAGGTTTATGGCCCTGGGTCACCCCTCGGTCAGGCCTCCCGCGGACGGAAAATCTGAAAAAAAAAAAAGTTGCTGGGCTGCTGTTCGTGTGTTCGTTGCTGGGCCACACACTGGGCTGCTGTTCGTGCGTTCGCGGGACCTTTTGCTGGAGATGCACATGTTTGAAAATACCCCCAATCTGGGCAGGAGGGCACTTGGGGGACGCAGGGTTTACCCCCCACGCTGCCCGAAATGGAAGTCTCAACTAGGCGGAAGATGGGTACTCACGTTGAAAAGATGAGCAGCCATCTTCTGGCCTTCCCTTCTTGTGATTGGTCGTTGTCTGACTTCTGGGCCCACGTCATGCTTGGGGTTGGGCGAGGGGTTCGGAGTTGTGTGGGGTGGGTAGCTCGGAATGAAGTCTTGTCGCACGAGGGTCGCAGGCGATTTTGGTGGTGCCGAACCACTCTCAACGGCCAACATGAACACTTTTCAGGCTCCCGACGGCCAAGATGACCTGTTTTTAGTGCTCCCGAACTACCGAACAGGGCCATTGCATGAAGAGAGGTTTGGTTGCTACTAGTCTTTGGATTTTGTCTTTTACGTAGATTCGGTTTAATCAATTATGGTTCGGGGGTCGAATAGAAGGTAAAAACTTCGCGTTTACCTTGTAAGCGAGGTGAATGAGATGTCATCGTCGAGCGTACTGGAGACCGCACGACATGATTGAGAATTAATCACGCTGAAGAGAAATATAATGACTTACAATTACACTGTTAAATAACGAATCGATGATCCCGTAATTCTCGTTTTCCCTGAATGTTGGGTGGGGCCGGTTCGATCTGGAGCCTCTGATTGGCTACATAGCTGATTCGTGCAATGATTCGGTCAAACTGCGAAATTTCCCGCCAAAAAAGGGACTATAGGGGTCGGGCCAAAACTAGGCGATATCAGAAAACTCTACACAAGGGGTAAAAGGGACTCTTTCAGCGAGGGCCTCTAACCCGGAACATCTCTACTGTCCACAAAATCTTCACAGCTGCGCCGAGATGAAAACCAAAGAAACCAGGTGTTAAGCCCCACTGAGAAAACCGTTGAGCGGAGAAGGCCAGGTGAAATTGCGTCAGTGTGGAAATTGTTACGATATTAAGCCATATGAGAAGGCATTCCTGCACGCTGTACGGGCCGACTCTTACGAGTACGAAGTCGAGGAGTCAGAAGAGTCGAAGCGACGCAGCAACTGTCTGATCAAGACCGATGCAGGCATAAACATTTGAAATGAAAAGAGCGAGAACAGGTTCAAAACTTGTTCCCGCTGTGAGAATAAGCGAACAGGAATGAATGAACTAGAAGTGAAATGAGTACAAGTAGTAAACCCTAGAATTGTGTACCCCCTATAGGCTAACCCACTGTAGCCTACACAAGCATAACATATATAATGTTTGACACACCCCCATAGGCAAAGTGGGGGAGAACAAGGGGTCACAAGACCAGTCAAGCAAAGCAAAGCAAGCTCAGGGTGGATCACAAAGTCACCACACAGTCCGAGCACAAGAGCAGGGCCAGAGGCCAGTTCACATGCAGGAGTACAGACATATATATAAAACTAGACAAGCAAGAGCAGGTATATATATATGTCACAGTACAAGTAAAGTCAAGAGGAGAGCAAGTGAGGCAAGACAGGCACAAGACCCAGCTGGGTGCAAAAGCGCTGATGGTCACAAGGCGCGAGTGCCTTGGTGAACACATCAGCAGTGTTGGCCTCAGAGGCCACGTACGCAAGTCGCAACTGACCACGCTGCTGCAGCTCACGAGCAAGGAAGTAGCGGAGAGCAATGTGCTTCGTTCTGTGCTCCAAGCGCTGCTCTCGACACAAGGCCAGCATGGCCTTGTTGTCTACGTACAGCACTGGAGGAGAACGAGGCGGCTCTCCAAGGTCAGTCAGCAGGTAGGTGAGCCAGCGAAGCTCCTGTGTAGCCATGGCCCCGGCGTAGATCTCAGCCTCACAACTGGAGCCGAGAACCGAAGACGAGCGAGTAGACCGCCACGAGACAGAGCCGGAACCAAGGCTGAAGGTGTAACCCTGTGACGACCGCTGCGTAGCCTGGTCGTCAGCCCAAGAAGCGTCCGCGTGGCCGGTAAGGACCACTGGACTGCGCCCTCCAAGCACAAGCCCCATGCCCGACGTACTGCACACGTAGCGCAATACCCTCTTCGCTGCAGCCATGTGCTCTGGTCTGTGTCTCCCAGGAGCAACATAGCGTGCAAGAATGCTCAGAGGGTATGCAAGGTCAGGTCGTGTGCAGGTCATCAGGTACATGAGGCAGCCAACAAGCTCTGCATACGGACCACTCGACTCTACGGACTCATCCGAAGGCAGAGCTGAGAGTGAGTGGCGAGTAGGCAGAGGAGTGGCCTGAGGCGAGGAGTACGTGAAGCCGAAGCGCTGAAGGACCTGCTGCACCATGTGTGACTTAGTCAAGGTAATGGTGCGGCGTGCTCTGTCCCGAGTGATCTGCAAGCCAAGGTAGCTGCGCAGTTCACCCAGGTCTGTGCACGTGTGTCTCTTCAGCAGTTCGGACTTCACGTAGGCGAGTCCAGCAGCGTCCGCTGTGGCAAAGACCAAGTCGTCGACGTACACGAGGATGTAGAACGGCGGCAGTGAAGTGTCGGTGCGCAGAAACAGCGACGGGTCAGCAGTAGAAGGAGCAAACCCAAGAGTCGCAAGCGTAGTCCTCAGTGTGTCGTGCCACTCACGCGGTGCCTGGCGGAGACCGTAGACTGGCCGTCGGAGGCTCCACTGGGTGCCAGGAGGGAAAGTCCCAGTGAAGCCAGGTGGACGGCGCAGCCAAATCTCCTCGTGCAGGCTACCCTGCAGGAACGCAGTGCTGAAGTCGAGAGAGTGAAGCTCGTAGTCGCGCTGAGCGGCTATGTGCAGCAGCACCCGAAGAGTGGTCATCTTCGGGGTGGGAGAGAAGGTCTGAAAGTAGTCAACTCCCTGCCGCTGACTGAAGCCACGAGCAACGTACCGCGCCTTGAAGAAAGGTGGAGAGCCCGGCGGCCGCTTCACCCTGAAGATCCACATGCCACTGACGATGTTCGCCCCAGGAGGGGGAACCGCGTCAGCGTAGGTGCCTGTGGACTTCCAGGAAGCCATCTCTGCATCCATAGCTGCCTGCCACTGAGAGGAGTAGGGACCCTCTACGGCCTCCGCGTAAGAACGCGGAGTCGGGATGTCTAGTGCATCCGGGTCTCCCTCAGGGGCAAGCAGTACAGACGCGAGATGAGGTGAAGCAGCCGCTAGACACTGTAACTCCTCCTGTCTGTCCTCTAGGACGTCCGTGCCAAGAGCACACTCACCCCCGACGGACGGAGGACAGACAGACGCAGACTCAGCAACAAGACCAGCAGCGTAGTCGAGACGACAGCGAGCAGCAAAGTCAACGAGCTCAGCGACTAGAGCAGACGCAGCAGTGGACTCAAAAGAGGGGTCAGTGACGACAGTAGCAAGCAGACGCGTGACAGTAGGACTGGCAGCGCGAAGAGAGTCCGACTCAGGGTCGGCAAGCGCAGGAAGAGAGGACTCAGGAGGAGAAGGCAAAGGGGCACGCAGAGGAGCAGTGGACGGACGCAGAGACATCCGGTGCGTGCCAGGGACAGGAGGAGGACGCTGACGCGAACCGCGACCACTAGCGCGAGCAGCACGAACAGGCGACGCGGGACGAGACGCAGGCTCACGACGCTCAGCAAGACCTCCAGTAGGACTAGTGTAAGGAGAGGGAGCAGGCAGAGGAGAGGAAGGCTCCAACAGTGACTGCGACTGGACAGGCTGTGGACACTCTACCGAAGGAGAAAGACCAAGAACCTGCTGTAGGAGCGGAACGAAGTACGGCCGAGGCCGCGCGGCAGCTCCAGACTCAGCAGGGACAGCACCAGCACCCTCAGCGACAGCACCAGCGCCACCAACACCTCCAGCGGCAGGACCTCCAGCAGCACCAGCAGCAGAACCACCGCCAGGACAGACAGCAGTAGTCTCAGCACCAACACCCTCAGCAGCTCCAGCTCCAGTAGGACCCGCAGGCCCAGCAGCTCCGGGACCGGCAGCACCAGCACCCTCGACGGTCGACAAAGCTCCAGCTCCAGCAGCACTCCTCCAGCGGCGAGCAAACCACTCACGCAGCTCCTGTGGAGAGAGGGGCTCCCGGCGAGACGCAGCAGCAGGAGAAACTCCAGGCTCAGCAGCTCCAGACTCAGCACCCCCAGGCACAGCCGCTCCAGACTCAGCACCTCCAGGCTCAGCAGCTCCAGACTCAGCACCCCCAGACTCAGTAGCTCCAGCTCCAGTAGGACCCGCAGGCCCAGCAGCTCCGGGACCGGCAGCACCCTCAGCAGGCGAAGAAGCTCCAGCTCCAGCAGCACGCCTCCAGCGGCGAGCAAACCACTCGCGCAGCTCCTGTGGAGAGAGCGGCTCCCGCCGAGACGGAAGAACCGGAGAGCCCCCAGGTCCAGCAGGCGCAGGCTCCGCACCTCCAGGCCCAGCACCCCCAGGCTCAGCAGCTCCTAACGTAGCACCCTCCGGCTCAGCACCCCCCGGCTCAGCACCCCAGGACTCAGCACCCCCCGGCCTCGCACCCCCAGGCTCAGCACCCCCAGGCTCAGCACCCCCAGCAGCAGCACCCCCAGGCTCAGCACCCGCAGCAGGACCAGACTCAGCAGCAACCTCGACAGGCTCGACCGTGTCTACCTGGGACACACCTGAAGGGGCAGGAACCTGAGGGGGGAGGGGGTCTACCGGGGGGGGAACTGGTACCAGGAAGTCCGGTGGGGGGGGAAGGGAAGGAGTACGGTAGGGGAAGAGGCGGTAGAAGGGGACTGACTCGTCGAACGTGACGTCCTGGGAGGACAGAACACGACGAGAGGAGGGGTGGTAGAACTGCCACCCTGGAGCGTCAGGGGGGAAGCCAAGGAAGACACAGGGAGCAGCACGGGGGGACAGCTTGTCCGCAGACAAGTCGCGGACAAACGCCCGAGATCCCCAGACACGGAACGCAGACGCATCGCCGACCTTCCCCGTCCACAGTAACACTGGGGACATCGCGGGCCGAGAGACCCTGGGGTGAAGGTTGAGCTGATGCGCCGCGTACCTAACCGCAAACGGCCACAGAAAATGGGGGGCAGCCGCATGCATCATGGACGTACGAGCGACATCCATGACCATGCCAATGCGGCGCTCAGCAATCCCATTTTTCTGTGGAGAGTCCGGAAGCGTAAAGGTCTGGCGGATCCCCTGTGCACGACAGTAGTCTCGCAGAAGGCGAGAGGAGAACTCCCCACCTCGGTGAGAGTGCAGACGCAGAACAGGAAAGTCCGAGCCGAAGCTCCTCCTGAGCTGGAGACGAGCCTCGCGGATCCAGTCGATCAGCACCTCAGTGACAGCACCCTTGCTGCGCAAGGGGAAGACTGAGGTGTAACGCGAGTAGTCGTCAACCACCAATAGGAAGTAGCGCTCGTGACCCTGCCCACGGACGGGGGCCGGGCCCCACACGTCCATGTGAAGCGTCTGCAGAGGAGCCTCTGTCGGGGGAAACTGGGAGGAGTGAGGAGCAGCCCTGAGGCGCCCCTCGACACAGGGGACACAGGAAGGTCCTGGTCCCGAAGGAAGGGGAGGGAGAGACTGGGGAAGACCAGAGACAAGGACACGGGAAGCCATGCCCCGAAGACGGGGCAAGGAGGGGTGGCCTAGACGGTGGTGCCACAGAAGAGTCTCGTGAGACAGGAGGCGACACGAACAGGGGGCAGACTCAGGACCAGACCTGGACGCAGCAGCAAACACCTGGCCCGACGCTGCTACCTGACCGGACGCGGGGACAGGAGGAGACTCAGTGGTCAGGGTGTAGAGGCTCGACCCCGGCCGACGCGAGAACGTGGCCAGGTGCCGGCCTGTGCGTGCGTCCGTGCAGTGGGTCACCCGCTGACTCGCAGGAGTGAACTGGTGAACCCCCGCATCCTGTAGGTCTGCACCACTCACCAAGTTCGTCGAGAACGAGGGGAGGTACAGGCCAGACAGGGTGCCCGAGGGGGCAGCCGGACACGGGAGGACAGTGGAGAAGTGAGCGAGGACAGGACCCCCAGAGGGGTCAGCCAGGGAGACCGCAACCGGCCGACCAAGCGGCGTGAGTGTGGTGCGGTCCCGAAAGAAGGAGCGAGAAGCCCCAGAGTCAAGTGTAAAGGTGAGGGAGGCCGAAGCCAACGCGGTACCTGAGAGCGCAGCCTCACCCGCACCTGAGGAAGCAGACTCACTAGCACCTAGAGCAGCAGCCGCACCTGTACCTGGAGCAGGAGAGTCACTAGCACCCAGAGCAGCAGCCTCACCAGTAGCTAGAGCAGCAGGTCCTATACCTGGGTCAGGCGGGACGCACAGGTGACCGGCACGGTCAGCACTAGTAGGCAATGCATACAAGGCAGTGAGAATAGCATCATAGTCAAGAGCATATATATCTACCCTCTGCCTAAGCAACTCCACCCAGTCGGGAAGCTCAGCCTCGTCGCCAAACACGGTACGCCAGGCGTCGCTCAGACGGGCGAAGCAGCGGGACGGTGTATGACTACGTGTCCCACAAGGTTGACCAGTCCGAGTACCAGTGCGAATCACGTAAGAGCAGCGAACAGCACTGAGAGACCCTCCACTCTGAGCGTACCACTCACGAAGCTGGCGAGGCGTGAGAGACATGCGAGAGGGTCGCGGGAGCTGCATCTGGCCGCCACCACGAGTAGAAGCAGCAGGAGTGGTAGTAGGAGTAGCGTCGCCACCCCTACAGCCCCAACCAGCGTACCACTCACGCAGCTGCTGGGGCGTGAGGGACTCACGCCGGCGTCGCTGGGGCTGCATTTGGCTCCGCAAGTAGAAGCAGGAGCAGGACTAGCAGCAGGGAGGCAGGCAGCCAGGCAAGCCAAAAGGCAGGCAGGCAGGCAAGCAGGCGACGCGCAGCGTGCTAGCAGGGCAAGAGCTCACCAGTGGTGGGAAGAGTAGGCTCGGCGACTCAGCGGCTCGGCAGCTCGGCGGCTCGGCGGCTCGGGCGACTCGGGCGGCTCGGCGGCAAGGCGGCTCGGCAGCAACTGCAGCTCAGCAGCTCGGTGACTCGGCGGCTCGGCGGCAGGGCGGCTCGGCAGCAACTGCAGCTCAGCAGCTCAGCGACCCGGCGGCTCGGCGGCAGGGCGGCTCGGCTGCTGGGCGGCTCGGCCGCAAGCGGCCCCCTCAGGTCGCCTCGACAGGCGACGGGAAAAGGGGGGGGTGGGTGGTGGGGGCCGGTAGGTGCAGCGGCGGGGCCAGCAGGTGCAGTTGCGGGGCCGGTAGAAGGGGACGGCAGGAGCCGTCAGGAGGGGACGGCGGGGCCGTCAGGAAGGGACGGCGGGGCCGTCACGAAGGGACGGCGGGGCCGTCAGGAGGTGACCGGGCCGCGACGGGGGCAGGCGGCGGGGCCGCGTAAGGGCCTGGGCGGGGCCGCGACAGAGCCGTCGGCGGGGCCGCGTGAAAGCCGGGGCGGGGCCGCGTAGAAGCCGGGGCGGGGCCGCGCGAGAGCAGGCGGCGGGGCCGCGAAGGAGCCGGGGCGGGGCCGCGTGAGAGCAGGCGGCGGGGCCGCGTAAGGGCCTGGGCGGGGCCGCGACAAAGCCGTCGGCGGGGCCGCGTGAAAGCCGGGGCGGGGCCGCGTAGAAGCCGGGGCGGGGCCGCGCGAGAGCAGGCGGCGGGGCCGCGAAGGAGCCGGGGCGGGGCCGCGTGAGAGCAGGCGGCGGGGCCGCGTAAAGGCCGGGGCGGGGCCGCGACAGAGCCTGCTGCGGGGCCGCGTGAGAGCCGGCGACGGGGCCGCGTAAGGGCCGGCGGCGGGGCCCCGTCAAAGAGGGCGGCGGGGCCGCGTCAGTGAAGGCGGCGGGGCCGCAGGGGAAATGGCGACCCGAGGGGTCGCTAAAAAAAAGATCGCGCCTCGGGAGGCGCTTCGGTGGGCCCAAAAAAAAACGGTCCGTAGAAGGACCCGCTCTATACCATGTGAGAATAAGCGAACAGGAATGAATGAACTAGAAGTGAAATGAGTACAAGTAGTAAACCCTAGAATTGTGTACCCCCTATAGGCTAACCCACTGTAGCCTACACAAGCATAACATATATAATGTTTGACAGTACCCCCTATAGGCTAACCCACTGTAGCCTACACAAGCATAACATATATAATGTTTGACACCCGCGCCGCACGGTTTTGATTCGTTGCAATAGGGAAATGTATCCCTTAGAGTACATGGCTAGTCTAGGTCTTTTCGTATTCCCCTATATTCATATATAAATCCGATGTATGCATGCTATTATCATCTCAGTCATTTACATTCACTCTGATATGAGTTCACTACTTCTGCTGCAACACTACCCTGCGATCAACCCTAAGCGATCCTTCGCTAAGTTCCACTTGGGATTGTAACATGGTATGAGAGCTTTTCAGGGATTCTTCACAACTTCACTTCCGTGAAAATTCGCCGAACCTAGACCTGGCGAGCGGCACACGCTCCAAGACCAAGATGGCCGGAGGATCCGGAGATTAAGCAAATCTGACGGCCGAAGGACAAACCAACCCTGCTGCGACAAATGAGGCGACAACCACGATCAGCACTGCCGCATTCGAGCATTTATTTTCGCGACTATCAACTATGGAGAAAGATCTCCAAGAATTGCGCAAAGGCATTGCGAGAACATCTTTCTAACCAGTTCAACCTGCACAACCGGCTGCGAAAAGCCGTGATACCGCCGCGCACACCTTCTCCCTCAACATAGACAAATTAACAACTACTGCCCTCCGTCCAAGTGATGAATTCATTTATTCCTCGCAAGCACGCTTCCTCAGCGTTTCAAAAATCAATACTACCGCCGCATTTGACGACAAAGATTTCTATGCATGGAGTTTCGAGCTTGAGCTCCTCCTATAGAGAGCGCAGATCTACCATTACTTCGACGGCTCCTACGCAAAACCGGTGGAAGACACCGACGAAGCTAGGGCTCAGTACTACGGCGAGTCCCTCATGGCATACAGTGTGATGCTACAAAATATGACGCTCGCGGAACAACTCAGCATTCTCTCCTACAAAGAGAGCGCCGCTCCAGCCTTGGAAGCCTGGAAGCACCTCGTTGAGGTGTATCAACCGAAGGATTCGGTCACCGCCAGCAGGCTCCTGCAGCAACTCATGGAGACAAAGATGGGGCACGGGGAGAAAGCGAACTCATATATTAACCGTTGTCGGAACATCCGTGACCAGATCACGAAGCATGGGAGCGCAATCTTGGAGGTGATCTTCATCAATATAGTCCTTAAAGGACCCGGGCCAGAGTGGAAGCCCTGTAAAGCGCTACTCCGACAACGAGGAATTATCTCTTAAGCCGCGCTATGCGCCGCTCTCCTGACTGAACAGCAGGACATGGACTCAAGCAGAACAAGCTCCGCGCTGCGCCAAGAGCGCCTCGCCTTCTATGCAGACAACCGTGAAGAGCGACGACAACCAAGGCGCCACTATTGCAAAATATGCAAAGTCTTCGGACACTCAACGGATTGATGCAAATCCCGATCCAACTACCGCCACCCGAATTCCACTCACCACAACAACTGCGTCGGCCGACAAGACACTCGTCATTTTCAGCCTCAACACCAGACCTCTCGTCCCCCTACACAGCATCAACAACAGGAGTCACAAGGACCTCAGACAGGAGCTCTCAGAAATGTGATAGCGAACATGGCGACGAGGCGTCGTTGCACGGCCAGACGAAGAGGACGAACTCCACGGTGAGCTCATTCCACCAGAGGAAGGATGGAATACTCCCCTCACAGAAAACCACTTCTACCTATATGACGAAGACGAGCAAGATTGGCATCTGCCAAAAACACTGCGGGAAAGCCCGTCACACGACCACCAGCATAACGTGCCTGTGGGATGGAAAGAGGAAGAAGACCCATCCTTCCACAGACGCTACAAGGCAACACTGGTGACTCCGCGACTCGCGCTACTACTGCGTAACAACAACACCGACAACTACAACACTTGGTATCTGGACAGCTGCTGTGA